TTGCCAAGCGACGAAAACCCAACCCCGATGGCAAACACCGGGGGGGGCGGCTCAGGGGGGGGGGGCGCAGTAATTATTGCGTGATTTTTGTGTGTGTGTGTGCTTTGACGTTTCCACCTATTACTTGTACATCTGTTCTATCCTCCCGTCTGTCGCAGGTGGCAGCGGCAATCAACCGCTACCGAGAAGGGAAGGTGGAGCAGAACGGATGATGACCGACCGCGGTCGGCTGGACGGGACCGGACCGCACCCATCTGATCGCCGGAAAACGTTCGCCAAATCATCGGGACCGCAAAAGGGGAAGGGGTGCTGCTTGTGAACGCACGTACATGAGCGTCCGTTTTGGTTTTGTACGAGGAGATCTCGAGAATAATCTTGGAAGTCTCCTGTGTGGGCGTAAGATGACAGCCAGCCGGTCTGAACCTGTCGAGAGAAACGACTTGGGGTGTCAGACACGCAGGCATGTGACAGCACTGACTGCCCTTATTTTACTAGCCTTGCGGGTGGTGTGTTCGTTTAGGTTATGTCAGAATCAAGCCCCTTTTTTTTTTAGTTGGTCTCCGCGTCGTGGACGACGCCTGCAGTTTTGTGAGCTGGCGCACCGGACTCGTGTCATGCGGTCGTGTGATGAGTGAGCCTGGCTTCTGTGTTCCGCGCAGCAGGTTTGGCGCACACACCACTGAGTTACACCTGCCTGGTACAGGTTTTTTGTGGAGACAAGTACCTATGCACCAATAACTACCAAGCGTATGAAGGAAACACTCGGCCGTGAAACCAAGCCCTACAACGCTACCTTGCGTGGAAAGTTGGTCTGTAGGTGGTTCTCGCCAGCAGCGTGAAACAAGCGCGCTCCATCGCGTGTGCTCCCGACTTTCTCGTTGTCCGGTCCATTCCTTGGAACAAATTGGGGTATCTCGGGGAACAAGGGCGCTTGCGCTCGCGTCCCGTGACTTTGACGGCAGCAATGCAGTCACCATTGCGTCGTACCACCGTGCGCAACATCTTCTATCTGCGATTGCCCCGGGGAGTCCACAAACATTCTTGCGTGAAGAAAACACCCCCATCAGGGCGCTCTCAAAGGCGACAACAGTTGCGGAGAGATATAATGTACCTCAGGGTGAACACGTCCCCCAATAATCGGTCTCGTTGTTTGTGTTACGGGGCTTCCGACAAGAACACACACGAAAACACGACCGGCGTTTTTTGCAGGCGGGGGGGTCTACCAAAGGATAGTATAGCATTTTCCTTCCCACTCTCGCGTGCTTAATCCTCCCCCTCACCGCTCTTATCTCATTAACTTGTAGTGCCGGTCGCCCCGGTGGTCTATATTAGTAGTTGTATCCTCGTAATCCGCTAGTGGTAGAGGTCGTTAGTTCGAATCCCCATGGGGTGAAAAAATTACGAAATTTGTGGGTGAATGCGAGTCATAGCTAAAAAGCTCTCGTACCAAACTTCGACGTTAGCACCGTTGACGAGGGAAAGGGACGGCCGGACCCTTCTCGTGATAAAAATAAAAATTCAGCACGCACCGCAGGAGGAAGGTGGGGCATGAAAATAAATAAAAAGAAGAAAAAAGCCCTGGTGTTTACCCCCTCCTGTGTGACCCTGGATGGTTGTAGTCGTACGAAAAAATACACTGAAACGTGTAGAGTAAATGTGCCTATTAAGGACCACCCCCCCATTAAGGACCACTTTTTTCAAACGGGCATACCAGGCGCACAATTCGCCGCCCCCCCTTTTTTTTTTTTTGAATTTGATCAGCTTTCCGTTAGCTTTCGTTTGAGCACTTCAGCGTGCCGACCGGGGCACGCAGCCCCGAGCTACAGCAACGCGCCCACCAGCACTCTCGATGCGGCGCATCTTCGCCCTCTTGGGCCTCCTGCTGCTAAGCATGGGTCGGAATAGAGTGTGCGCGGAGGCCGCTACGAAGGCCTGTGAAGCAGTCCGCAGCGGTAGCATGTCAGGCAACGCTGCTGCTGCTGCCTACGGCATCAGCAAGACGTCGCTCTCGCGGCGGCTGAGCGGTGAGTGTGCCATAGACGCTCGGGTGGGGCCCGGGACTGTCATGACCGCAGCCGAGGAAGATGCGCTTGAAGATGTTCTGCTGTACGCTGGTCGGAACTTTATTCCGCTCACCACTGCAGACCTCACGGAGCGTGTGAGACAGCTCTGCAACGACGGTCGACCGATCCCGTGGACCCCTGACAAGGGCCCGGGGAGGAGTTGGCTTGAGGGCTTCCTCGGACGGCACGAGCGCATCAGCCTTCGACTCGCCCGCATCTACGAGTCCAACAGGGTGACCTCCGCGGAAGATGAACGTCTGCACAAGTTTTACGACTTCTGGGGCCAGTTCATCGACGAGCACCAGCCGGCGGCCGACCATGTCTGGAACACGGACGAGTCAGGTGAGCAACACAGGGTAGTGGTGTGGTGTCGGCAGTAGCTGCTGTGTGACGGATTGTGATCTCGTTTCTACATTTGAGCTGCTGTGTACGACATGAAAAATAGGCAGAGTTCTGCTGCTGCTTTAAAAAAAAATCGAGTTTTCCCGCAGCGTGGTCTCCGCCGAGGACCACTGCTACATGAACGCGCAATTACTGTCGTGCGCNCAGGGTAGTGGTGTGGTGTCGGCAGTAGCTGCTGTGTGACGGATTGTGATCTCGTTTCTACATTTGAGCTGCTGTGTACGACATGAAAAATAGGCAGAGTTCTGCTGCTGCTTTAAAAAAAAATCGAGTTTTCCCGCAGCGTGGTCTCCGCCGAGGACCACTGCTACATGAACGCGCAATTACTGTCGTGCGCGCTGGCTACTGTTTGGGATCCTTGTTCATGTCGGCAGTATGCACACACGTTGCTTCAAGAGCAGTTTCGCATGCTGATACACATGATTTTTGCGCAGCACACGCACGGAATTGATGTGTGGGAAGGAGAAGCTTGTCGCGGTGCCGCTGCTGCTGCTGCTACTGCTGTTGCTGCTGTGCGTATCTTTCTCACCTTCGACTAGTCTATGGAGTCTACAGCAGTGGCCCCCTGTGTGTACCTTTTTTTTTCTTCGAGGCGCAAGACGAGAAGACTATAGTCTAGACTAGTCTCGTGTGGATNTAGGCTGGACGTTGGTGGTGCGTGAAAGCGCTATTGTCCCCTGTACTTACTCTCCTACTGCTTCTCCCCCCCCCCAACTCACGCTTTGCCGCCGCAAAAAATCATTGCAGGTGGCACCGTTCAAGGTACGCAGGGACAGCGGGTCATGGCGGAACGGGGGCAGCCGGTGGTCGCCCAGATGCGCTCCACCTCGCGAGAGAACTGCACGATCGTCACCACCATCAACGCTGCCGGCGCCGTGTTGGCTCCTACCATCATCTTCAAAGGGCAACGCTTCAACGGAGATTGGGTCGCGGATCTCAACGGCCCGCCGGGTGCGTACTACGACTGCACGGAGTCATCCTTCATGTGTGGTGAGGTGTTCATCAAGTACATCAAGAACTTCCACAAGCAGCTCGGCGACCGCAACTTGCTCGACGGAAAACCCCACGTGCTCGTGCTGGATGGGCACGCGTCGCACGTGACCCTGGACGTCATTAAGTTGGCCATCTCCCTCAACATCCACCTCGTCCAGCTGCCCTCCCACATGTCTCACATCACCCAGCCCTTGGACGTCGCTGGCTTCGGGTGCTTCAAGAAGGAGCTGGCGAAGGTGATCCAGGCCTTCCCGGCGAGGAACGGAGGGGCACTACCGCGGAAGAGGGACATGGCCGGCATGATCGGGCTAGCGTGGGGCTCGAGCTTTACGCCGGAAATCAACAAAGCTTCCTTCGCCGGGGCGGGCCTGTGGCCGGTGGACAGGGAGCGGGCACTCAGCCGGCTGCTGCGCCCGAAGAGGAAGGTGACGGAAACCGACCGCCCTCCCCTGGAGGACGTCCCCATCGCCGTGACCAACGAACGTCTGGAGGAGTTGATCGGCGACCGCGGCGTTCGCGCGCTCAGAGCAAAAGGCCACACCATCACGGGACTTCGCGTGAGCACCGTGGTCCTCGGCAACTTCCTGCCCAACAAAAACAAACGTCCCAAGGGCCCGCCCAAGCGGGCGAACTTGGGCCGTCCAGAGGGAAACCTCCTCTCTGCGCCGGAGTGGGTGGCGGAGTAGGAGAAGAAAGACCGCGAGGTCCAGGCTGCCGAGGCCGCTAAGGCGGCCGCGGGAGCGGCGCGGGCAGCCAAGAGGGTGGCGAAGGCGGCGGCGGCGCCGGCGAACAAACGTCAAGCGAACGGCGGACGAGGCGGCGGGCAGGGGCGGGGCCAGGGGACGTAGTGGATGTGTAGGTGTTTTCGAGGGGTGTTAGCTGTGCACAACCACGCGGTATCGGGGTAAAGTCTGCAACAATTGGCTTGAAACTAGTGCGCGGAATCATTTTCGGTCCGTTGAGAGTTACATATAGTTCACGAGGCTGCGTCAGCCAATTTGGGTGTCAAACCAGCACCAGGGGGGGGGGGGACGGGCGGGCGGACAGTTGGTCGAGAAACCCGGGGATGCTGTACTTTTGTCCCCTGGGCTGGGCGTGTTTTTTTTTTTTCGTTTCCAACGTGTTTTCTGCAACCTTCAACGCGTTTCTGTCAAACGGCGTGTGGTGGGGGGTTCATATGGGTTCAAAATGGTTGCTTGAACTCTTCGCAGATTTCAGAGGGATTTTGCTGCCGTCCAAGTCAAAAAAAGGGATGAAAATACCCATGTTTGCACAGCCATAACATCGTCTGTAGGCTCTCGTTTGTCGTAATTTTTTTTTGTGACTTCAAATAGGATGCGCACGAGTCGTTCGTGCATCAGAATACGACGGTTGAAGCATTTCATGACAAAAAAACGCGCGCTATCCCCCAAAAAGGGTATTTTCCGCCCCCGGTAATGGAGCCGAAAAAACGGGGATACGGGCATTTTGTCCCCGGGTGTGGACCGATTTTTTTTATTTTTTTGTAATGGAATGTACAGTACACTACCAGCTCGTGTGCCAAATTTCAGGTCTTGAAACGCTTTAGAACCTGCGTAATGGCCCACTACCCGAAAGTGGTCCCTAATAGGGGCACCGCCATTTCTCCAGCATTTTTTTCTGGAAAATGAGGTATAGTTCAAGGGCTATATATCATCGCCACTTCAATTTTTTTCAAAAACAACTTTTTGGCCTCGTAGGGTGTGCTCTAAGCTATCATCCGATACCCCAATCTCTTCATAAATCACCGTGACGCCAGAGAACGAGCTGCCTGAGTGGGGGGGGGGCTTAGGTGGTCCTTAATTGGCACATTTACTCTATCCAGTACCTCCTTCTGTCTCAATCTCTCCGTACTAATCCATCACTTGACTCGGCCAATTTCCGTGGTCACAGGCTAACGTACCTAGAAAAGGTATACCAAAATAAAATGGACCCCAAGGGTTGGGAAAGGTTCAAACTCTCCACGTGCTGTAGATGCATGTACGCTCACACACCAGCAGTTGGTCCTGCACACCCAACGGCTTTCGGCCTACTACGTGCTCTTCCTCACCATGTTCAGAGCGGGGATTCTCCCGGAGGCGTCAATAGGCGCCCAGCCTCAAAACAGAGCTTTGGAGGGCGGGTAGGAACTTCTTTATTTTCAACGTGTTTTTTGTTTTTTTTGGGGGGGGCTCGTAATTCTTTCAACAACAGTAACAACATTCGGTAACAACCCCGCATGTCTGCTCTATCTGACGTGTACACACACATGCATAGCATCGACCACGTCGACCGTCCACATGCTTGAACCAACGCCCAGCACTCACCACACCCAATTGTTTTAGATGGGTTGCTCGATTGACACAGGTCGTTCGCACGTATGCAATATAGACTATATCGTGCTGAAAGCAATAATCAACGGAAACTGTATATTGCACACGATACTTAAATCCCGTTGACCGACTCTCAACCAATATTGTTCCACGCCGAAGACGAATTCCGAAAATCAAACGATACATTTTCGAAAAGCTCTCGACAAGACAGTTCCAATGCCGCCATTTCCGGCCTCGCCACTCCTGTTGTGGAATAATCAGGCATTGGAACTCGGTCCAGGGGGCGTGGTATCTTAGTGCTGTGAGATCAGTGGATGCGATTCTCCTCTGCGCCATATTTTTTCTTCCCGCCACCCTTTTTTGCTCTTTCTTTTTCCTCTGGTTCCTCTGGAAATTCGTTTTACCCCTTTCAAAACATATTTGGTGTGGAGGCCAATATGGTGGCATCAGTATGCAAATGCACACACATACACAAGAGTAGGATCTTAGACTCGTGTCGAGCACGGCTCCAGAGTCTGAATCTTCACTGGGATCCTCCGTTGCTGCGAAGTCCGGAATATGGATCTTGAGGGTGGGAAAGCTAGCGTCCACGAAGGCGCCGCCCACTCTCCAACCTTACCCTTGGTCTCGTCCTTACACGGGGACGTCACCTGGCATTCCTCGCCACATCAACCGAAGAAGATACCTGCCTCGTCTTGGGGGCGGACGATATCGCTACTCGTTTTCTGTGGTGAACGATATCACCACAGGCCACGTGTGCTAGACAAAACCGAGCGAACCCCATCCACATTGGCTTCGACGAAGAGCCGTCCATCATCAATTCGGAACACGAATCGATGCCGGACGGTATCTCGCTCGTCTTCTTCGCTCCTGGGTCCAACAGAAGAGGCGCGAAGAACACGAACACGCCATAACAAGGCATGTCTAGCAGCAACAAACCTAAACAAGGTTCACCTAGCACTGCTGGGAAGAAACCAAAAGGTTCAGGTTCCTCGCCTCGCTCCACGTCTTCCAAACAAGACGCGGGCGCGTGGCAGAAGGTGAGGAAAAAGCAAAACGGCACAGCCGCCGAGGGTACCGATGACACAAACGACGGGAACCCGTTTGCTGCGCTAGCCGAGAACAAGACGGACGCCGACAAGAACAAGTCGACGGCCGACGAGTCCTCGAGTAGCTCTTCTTCTCCTGACGAGCAATCAGAAGAGGAGGAGGAAGGGGAGCTCCCCGAGCAAGAAGGTGGTCGCGAGGTGCCTAAACCCGTGGGCAAGTGGCTCGCTAAGAAGCTGAACCAAGCGTACGACAACGGCAAAGAACCTCCGGCGTGGGCCCTCCAGCTATGCGGCATGTCCACGAACGACGCCACCAACAACGACACGACCGAGGTGCTCGAACACGACGAATCTCGCAGCACATCTAGCAGCTGAGTCGACCTCGGGACACAGCAGTGAGACATTGGTCCCGTACGGTCCCGCTCCCCGTAATTCCGCAAGTAATTCCGCACCTCAACAAGTTGTGGACACTCGCATCGCTAACACAAACCTCTCTGGGTCTAGCACATCGCTACCACAAAGCACTATGTCTGTCAGCACAGACATGAACATGACTGTAGGACAACAGAGTCTAGAAAACTCTAGGTTCCAACTCAAGCAGACAGACATCCCGGCCGACCTGAAGTTGGAAGGCCTCCCGTCCGAAGATGTACCCGAGAAAATGGCTCTTTATAGGACACACATCGGAATCCTGTCTGGCTCCATAGGCTCACGCAACGTATCTCAAGAGACGAAAGACCACCGTGCGATCAAGAACTTAGGCCTGTTTGTACGCGGTGCAGCAGCCCAGGCCCTCAACCTCATTCTATCGTCCGCGCTAGAGTGGCGGCCTGAGTCTCAGCTTGAAGCTCTCCGTGTTTAAGGGGTCCGTATTGCAATCGTACCGCTGAAATCGTGGGACGAATGGGTCACGGCTTTCACAACTCTGTTTGCACCTGCAAACCGGATCTCGCTCTTGGCGTATGAGGTCATGACACTTCAGACCAAGCCGGGTGAAGGAGTAGACATGTTCTCACTCAGAGTAACGCAAGCCTACTCACGCCTCATCGAGGAAGCAAAGCGTACAGCACCACCAATCATTTCCCCGCACGAACACGCTCTCGAGCAAGCTAAAATTGCTTCGTTCGAGAATGGTTTGCCGCCTGAAGTCCGAGTGGAGCTGATTCGAGAAGAAATTCCATCGCAAACGTTCATGACATCAAAAGCGCGAGCACGCAAGCATGGAGCAAATAAGCTACGATCTCCCTCACACAGCTCATCCACGACGGTCTCGGCGCTGTCCGACCCGCCCATAACCCAAACGCAAACCATGGGCAACCAGTTCCAAATACTGGAACGGATCTCAGGGATTGCCGATGAGGTCAAACCAAACGGCAAGAAAAAAGCACCGGGAAAGAACGGTGGCGGGCAAAAGAGACAGCAGTCGGGGTCGCCGGCGGGAATTTCCCACTCCGCCCCGCCCGCTAAAAAACCAGCGGGCAAGCGCAATGGACAGGGAAGCGGGACTAACGGTGGTGGTACCAGTACGAGTGGCGGTGGAAGCGCAACCGACGGAACTAGCAACTCCGTCGAGTGCGACTACATTGGCTGCAAAGACAACGCGCGCCGGTTCACCCACTCGAGGGCCGACTGCCGCATCGAAGCTGACCACAAGGCGGCCTTAAGCTTGTTGGCAGATAGGGTTGCCCTGGTAGGCATCATCCCTCGGCCAACGTGGGACACCAGTCTATCAGTCGATACGCAGTAAAAACAAACTGCAGCAAGAGAACGTTAGAAAAGCGTAGAAAGAAGACAAGAGTAGACAAGAGGGATAGAGGACAGGAAAAGAATGTGAGATCTTTGGTGGCCGAGTCAAAAGCAGTTTTTAGGGCATCCCGCGAACAAGCAGATGGTCTACCAAGTAATAGGAGTAGCCGGAAAAATTCAGCAGGAATAACCCGTAGTCCTACAGGAATAAGCGCCCGGGCAACAGATGTAGCCAAGAAGAATGCTGCACGTATTGCAGTAAAACTAGCACCACAAGCCCTACACATAGGTGCGATAGCAGGCAGCTTCAGGTCGAAACATAGGTCAAGAATCCTGCGTGCCGACTGTAGTAATGAAGAATTTTCTGCTTTTCACGCTTCAGCACTGGCTGGATATCCGCGAAATCCATCAGTGTTGCACGCGTCTTCGCGGCGCGTGCTTGTTCCCGCCAGAGTAAATAATCACCCGGTTGATAAAAACAATCGACACAGCGTGTGTGCATTTCACAGGAATATTGTTGTTTCTCACATTAGCTCTAAAAAGGAAAGATTGGGAGCCCGTGGTCTCAAAACCCGGCATACACGACCCCACGAAGAAACAGAAAAAAATAGGGTACAAAAACCACTCGGA